TGAAACGATCGGGATTTTTTATTATCTACCGCAGGCGTACTCGACAAAGTTGTTGGCCTCGGTGACATGTATACAGGCTCAAATTTTACATTACGCCCTGTGCGTGCTGCATACACGTATACATATATACACTATATATATTGCAAACAGCCGCACAGCTGCGCCATGCACGCTAATGTCGCGCTGGAGTGAGCGGCTATACATTTTACAGCTTATACCGCACATATGTATGGTGTATAGAGCGGAAAAGATAGAAAGAGAGAGAGAGAGACAGCGCGTAGAAACGGAAGGATTTTCGCTCGAAATAATATTGCGACTGTTTCCTTGATCTCTCTTGCGCTCGCTGGCACATCGCAGCTCGTAAAATATCCTGTTCGAACTTACGCGTTGGGATTGACGCAGCCACACACTTGGTCACACGTGTATGTTCGTTCACGTTTACACACACACACACACACACACACACACACACACACACACACACTCGAGCCCGTGAGATTTCATAACAATGACGCGCGTAAAAAATCAAATGCGTAAACACGCACATATCTGTGAGATAGAGAAAAATATGTATACCAGATAAATCGCGGATGAAAAAGTTTTTTCATTTTGTACATAGCTTGGGCGAATATTGGTTACAGCTAGTGATTGTAAATATATAGTCCCACCAGCTCGCCCCCGAGTACTAATGCACTTTACGAGTCGACGCGAGGCACACGAAGTTTTCGAAATTTGCAAGTGCATATACGCTTAGTGAATTTATTGTTACCAGCAAGTGGAGGGCAAATTCTTGGCTTGTTTAATATATCCTGGGCCTCCACTGCTGCTACTTCTGCTACTGCCTTCGCTGCCACCGTTACGCTCAACTTACATAATAATAATTTTTTTTTAAGCCAAGTGTAAGTCCCTCGGAGCTAGCGGAAATGTACTCTTTGTCGAGGAAAATATAGTTAGACAAACTTCGACACATTACGAACAGACTACGGATTCGAGAGAGCGACGACGATGACTACGTGACGCTAGTTGCGCTTGTACATAGCCATATAGACGGATGGGTGATGAATAAATAAAATATGTTAACTGGGTTAATTAGCTGAAGATGAGTAGAAGAACGTAGGAATGAACGACGAACGGAGAGACGAGAAGTAAGACGTACAGCGTACCGAGAAGAAGAAGAAGTGAGGAAGAAGAATGACGAAGAAGAAGAGGGTGAGACGAACAACTGATATAATAAGGACTTAGAGAAGATGCAAGACAAGACTCAGCGTTCAGGGAGAAAGAGAGAGAGAGAGAGAGATAGTTAGGTTCAATTCACGTCTATTAGAGGCGGATTAAGCTCGACAAGAAATGCGGGCCCTCGAACTTGCTGCTGCCGTTGATGCGCCACTGCCGCCGTGCCAGTCCTTGCTCCCCCGGACAACTATATAATATGCAACTAAATACAATGTTGTGGCTGATAGACGATGAAGAATAAGAGTTTGTGAATTTTCTTTTCGTCTCTCTCCCTCTCTCTCTCTCTCTTTCCATCTCTTTGTCATTACGCGACGCGTGTCCTAAATTAAGCGGTATCCTATTTTATATGCCATGATAGCTCGTAATTTGAATCAAAGTACGGAAAATAAATAAAAAAAGTGAAAAAGATTTGACGAGGTCCTTGACAATCGCACCTAAAAGTGGCATGACGAGATTCACAGGGCATTTTTACTACTACCAGATAGCGTAGCGGCACTATCCCTTCTCTCTTTTAACCGGAAAATAAACTCGCTAGTCGGCAGGCAAGGCGCGCGCACGCCAAGCCAGAGTGGGGCGAGTCACGGCTACACTACTGTCTACGGATGTCGGAGAGTTCAGTGCGCTTTAGACTGCCAAGCAGGACTCGAAAGGGACGTTTTCGCCGAGTTTAGAGCGAGGCTGACGAACAGAGCCACGTGCGCGATTGTGTTTTTTGGTGTTAATCCCGTGAATACTACCTTCTATGCTTTTGCTATCGATCCGAGACGGTTAATTGTGCGCGAAGTGGGTTTGCTTTTTTCTTTTGTTGTTTCTTTGGTTTTTAGTGATTCGTTCGAGGTAAAAGTGATACATTTTTTGGAGGGAGGACAGCACAAGTTACAGCTCAAGGTGAGAACTTTTATAAAAAAAAATTGTTTACTCGACCGATTTCATGTTTTTTAGACGCTTAGAGTGTATCGACCACGAGCTTGCAAACGAAAAAGTTGGCCTATCGTAAACTGCGCGAAAAGAGGCACAAAGAACACGAAGGGAAAAAATTGCGTAAAATTTTCCGATAAACTCAGATCGGTTGTTCGATTGGGAATGATGGATATGCGCCGGGGAGATTGATTTTCGAGATTAATATTCAGAATTTAAGCGATAACGTCACTTGTCTGTAGGCGCGCCAGGATCGTAGCCGCGACGCGTGTTCTATTATAATACGCCTACATGACGCACGGTGTATACGTGCCAAGCTATTTGGTATCCCTCGTAATCGTTCGCATCGCACGAGTCATGTATAAAAATAAAAAAGGATGTTGGGGGGAAAAAAGATAAGGGGAGAAATCGTCGGTGAAAGTCACATTTTTTCATCATTACAACGAGTACAGCGAAAGCAGCAAATGGCACATGCAAAACGAGCGATTAGAAAAAATTGTCGACTCTCTGTGCTTTTTTTTCGGGTGGTTAGGAAAAAATCCCGGACGCACTCACATATCCATAAACTGCGAGGACATTTGTCATAAAACACAGAGAGCGAACGAAAGAGAGAAAGAGAGAGAGAGAGAGAGAGCGAGTGCCGTAGCAGTCGCAGTCGCAGTAGCAGTTGTAGTAGTAGTAGTAGTAGTTGTAGTAGTAGTAGCAGTAGTACTTCCCCGCTACTACTGTTCACTTTTCTGCGCCCGAGAGAGCTTCGTGTCGTCGTTCTACACGTCAAATCCATTCGCGAGCGTTAGTCATAATTTTCGTCGCGGCGGCGCGCAAAAACCATGGAAGTGACATTTTCGTTGGTTAGAAGCCGATAAGGCAGCGACGCGCGCGCGTACCGGATGAAAAGCCTACAGCGCGCGACGAAAAACGAAAGAATGTCTGCATGTATGTATGTGTCGCACCGCTGCTAGTAGCTAGCAGAGGTAGAAACAAACCATCCTCTGTTCACGTGTGTGAAAACGATAAGGGAAAAAGGAGAACGAGAAAAAAAAACATGCATGAGTGCTACTGCGCGCCGCTCGCACGCGAGTCTTTAATGGATTTTTAGTTATATGAGAAAGAAAGAGAGAGCGAGAGAGCGAGAGAGAGAAGCAAGAGGGGAGAAACCATTAAAATCTAGCGCGTGCCACTCGAAAGAAATTAATTCCGATTGCCGCTATCGCACCCCGAGACCGCCGACGCCGACGCGAATCTCGAGGCAGTTAAAGCAGGATTTACAGGGGAAAATTGCGAGGCGAGAGCTCTCTTTTTTTCAGCGCTGCTCTAAAAAAAATCTTTTTTCTTCTGCTCCGACTTTCTCGTTTGTCCAAAGCTCCCGTATAGTGTATGTGCTATACGCGCGCTCGCGCGCGAAACCGCTTCTTTTCGCTCTCTCTCCCCCCTCTTCTCGTAAACATTTAAGTATACTACTGTACTGATGCTCATCGCTTTTTTCCGTTATTTTCCCGAATAAATGTATGACTCGCTCGATGGATTGGTTTTCATCTCCTATATATGAGGTATATTTCTTCTCGAGGTTTGATTTCATGTTCGAGATTATGTCGCGCCAGCACGCGTATATACATATACACGCTTTATTGAGAGGTCAGCATCGAGAGAGAAAAGTTTTACTGGTCAGATTCAATAGCACTCGAGAGAGAGAGAGAGAGAGAGACAGAGAGAAGGAAAATTTTTCACGTCAAGAGAGAGAGAGAGAGAGAGACCAAAATAAAAAAAGCCACCCCAAGGCTTCGTTACGGGGACAACTGAGCTTTCGTCAACGCTCAACGTGAAACTGTCGAAGGACAAAAGCCGAAGCCACGAATGCTAGCTCTCTCTCACTCGTGAACGCGCGTCTAACAAAGCGAAACTTTTAGCAAAGCGCCAATATTGTATACCTATATCTTTTCATCTATATCTCTATATATGGTATACACCGAAGTTATTTTTTTCTGCTTTTGCAACCGAGCAAGAGAAAGAGAGAGAGAGAGCGAGAGAGAGAGAGAGAGAGAGAGAGAGAGAGAGAGAAAAATGCTGACCAAGCCGTAAATCGCACGACGAACTGCCTCTTTAGTTTCGGGGGTACTTTTTTTTAATTTTCCTCTCAAAAAGTTGGCTGCTATTAATCCAGCACACCAAGTATATAGCAAAAAATCGCAACGAGCGTTCAACTTTTTATTTTCATAATGAAAAAAATCGTTCTGCAAGCAGCGCGACTTCTATGGCGCGTATTCATCAAGCAAAGAAGTGCCGTAGTACAATTTGATCTTCGATGGGAGGCGTAGGCAGTGGAGGGCGAGGAGAAAAAGCTGCAAAGGTGGGGTAGCATTTGTTCGCGCTCGATTAACTACGCTTCGTTTATTTTCCCTCGTAAAGCATACAACGATTATTTTCGCGACATTAATTTGAACGCGTAAAAACTTGATTCTATGCGCGTGAAAGGGAATAAGCTTGCGCGAACCTTATCGATCCACGTATCAAAAAACCCACCTTTTATCGAAACTTGGCGCGTTCTTTTGTTTCTCATTACGTAGCTATTTAGCATTATGGTATTTTAATAAGCAGAAAACATTTTAATAACGAGCACGATAAGTCTGAAAATTCTATTGTTTTTAAACGTGTACATATGTGTTTGTGTGTTACATATAGGCCAGAGAAATAGCAGTTCCAGCTAGCCGAGACTAGCGGCAGCAACAATGAGACGTCGCAGAAGTTGACGGACGCGCGAGCTGAACATACACATCTCTGCAGCAGAGTCAGTACAGCGAAAGAGAAGAGGATGTGTTGCTCGGACGGCGACGGCGAACCCGGTAGCGGCGGCGGCGGCAGCAGCGGCGGTGGTGGTCTCAGAATGACGCGTTGCGGCCTGCTTTGCGGCATGGCCGCTCTGGCTGCCCTGACTGGCGCCCTCCTCGGTCCAGCCTGGCTCCATACCGAGGAGAGAATACCGCACTTACCGAGGCCTTTGTCGCACCTCGTCAGCGTCAGATTCAAGCTGGGACTCTTCAAGGCCTGCCCCAAAGTCATCAAGCCGGCTAATGTTACTCTGCGTAAGTATGAAAAATCAGCTTTGTCAAGAGGGATTTTACTGTAGCCTTTGCCACGGCCACTGGCTGTGGCTGAGGCCGGAGAAAATGAAAAAAAAAAAACAAACCAAAAAAACAAAAACAAAACAAAAGAAAGAAATAAATAAGAAGTGCATGGGAATCCTGTGCAAGCTCTATATACTTTGCTTGGTTGTTTTTTCAACCGGACTCGAGATCCCTCGAGGAATCTAGAAAAAGCTCGAGACACGTAACTTTACGGTTTCGCTGCGCGCGCCTCGAGCTGCTTCCGCCTTTTCTCCTGTATATGCAGCTGCTGCTGATACTGCTCCTGTCTTTCGGCCCTTCTTTCTATCTCCTTTTAGTCGCTTCCTTTTCTCATGTCGCCGATCTTCTGAAATCTATCCTCATTGTCTCTTCCTCTCCTTCTCTGTCGATACACAACTCCTTATTTGCTAGTACTTTATTCTAGCCTAGCCTCATTTTTCATCTTTATCAGCGATTTGACGTCGGAGATAACCCGCGCGGATTCATCAAATGATTATGACACCCGAAAGAGGCGAAAAATGCTTGAAAAAACGACTTGAATGAACATAAAGCCGTGAGCGCACGAAAATTCCTCGCTTCGCATATACATATGTGCATTGTGTGCCTTCATTGCTGTAAAACTTTCACGACGGCACACGTGGAAAAAATAAAACCTTTGACTCTTTTTACAAAAATTTCGCATTTTCCATGGCAAATGTTGCAGACCGAAGACACTTTGCAGAGTGCACTTTTCTCTCACTCACTTGGAATGTTTTCACCTCAAAACGCACATTCAACGCTACTGTTTTTCTTTTTCGGCCCTCGTTTTTCATTCTCGGCGTTGGAAAAAAACAACTGCACACTAGGGTGGTTCGCTTTTGCAAAAATGTTCAAAATCGCTTATACGTCATGGCGATTCTTAAAGTTCAAGTCTTTACGAAAAGAAAGCCGGGTTCAGAACCTCAAAAAAGTGTCGGGAACCGGTGTCGATTGATTTTTGAAGTTTAAAAACGTGCTCCAAAATAAGAGCAAAATCGGCCAACCATTCAATTTATTTCAAACTGTGGTCAGAGAGTAAAAATAATATTGACAACACATTTTCTTGCGTATTTTTGTGCGTAGAATCGAATGCCGTAGTCAGTTTTGCTCTACGACTTCGTTTTCATCGATAAAAATGTACTTTTTTGATTTTTTTTTGGCGTAAAAATCCAAAGATCGTCTTTGCAACGTTTAAAAATGAACAGAAAAAATCTGAAATAATTTTTGACACGGTCAAAATGTAGAATTTTTTATGACGAATCCAACGGTATAAATTAGTATATACTTTAAAATTATTTTCGTTCATAAAAATGCAAATTTTCGATTTTTTTTGGCTGAATTTGACGAAAAA